TTAATATTTCCACGATATAAACGTTTTCCCCACATCAACTTAATCTGAAGCGCTTGCTTGCGAGGCTACCGGGAAAAAAATTCAAAAAAGTTCTAAATTTAAGCCCTTTTTTCTAGTGCAGGATATTGTTTGCGTCAAATCTTTTACTCGTCAAAAAACTAATTTCTATTTTGATAAGTTATTGATATTTACTTATCAAATATTATTKAAGGAAATTAAATATTAACATTGAATGAGCAAAAGTGTATTTTTATCAAGAGTTTAGTTCTTTGTCAAAAAAGAAAGAATCTTTCTTTGTCCTGTAAAACTCAATCGTGCGTGCATGGCGAGGATGTTATCAATGACTATGACGTCACCATTCTGCCATTGAAACCCAACAGCACTAGACCAGTTGATGTCCCGTATGTGTCGAATCACTTCCGTTTCGATCTCACTTCCGTCRCCRTACGTAGCRTGAGTTGGGTACATATCATTGGGCAGTTCCATGCCCTTGAACATTGGTGATTCCTTGTAGTACGTGTTGTGATGCACGTTTGCTTGGTTGAACCATACGGGTTGTCCCGTAGCGGGATGCGRGACRAGTGGGTCCAACACGTACCAATATCGAAGACTGTTGTCGTTTTTGTCCCATTTGAAGTTAAAGTTTACGTTCCTGAGAAACTTTTCGACAGCCTGTGAAGAAACGCGAAACGGTTTTGTTTTGTATTATTGTATAATTGAAGATATTATGCCAGGARATGAGTGTGCAGTGCATGGTCTTAAATGRAAGCRTWACAACTATCAGCGGTTTTCGTCTGAGWKRMAAACATACGGTGCTTAAAACACATATACCGTATTTAACATAGAGCACTTTTCGCATGACTGTGAAAAGCTCATTGCTGTACTAGTAAGGGTACCGTGCCGTGACTGTGATGCATGCTAAAGGGAGAGGAAGGGTTATCATCTGATGTACCTGAGGGTCTTGWGTCATGAACGACTGTTGCCATGACGTATACTTCTTTTCTTTCTCGTCAGGAAGGTAACGTAGATAACGAATCCTTCTTTCTTGAAGAACATGGACAACTTTTGGATCCAAGCTGCTGAACACTTCTGAATTYCTTGCTAKTGGTGTGAGTCCTCCGTTACCTGGCACAGGTGCTTGAATGCAACAAAATATCACCTGAAAATAAACAGTTTCTGAAGTATTTTGCGTATTCACTTTATAAGGTCAGTATCGCCCTTTGGTCATGGGTATATGGGTCGCGGGGACACTGACCGACTGCTACTCTGTATCTGAAACCAAGAATAGTTCCATTTCTCATTCGGTAAATACCACAGTGTGTTTTATGACTGAAGACTCATCTGCGCAGGCTTATCCTCACTTAAGAGCAAATCATTTGCAAAAGTCAACTGTAATGTAAAGAATGTGCAGCTTGAACAATACCAATGTGTTGAAATCCCACGGACTTTTAATGGTATCTGTGTGTAGTGATGATGATAATGATGGTGGTGTTAACGAGGGGATTGATGCATACATGGTATTATGATGGTCATGTGATACGCTAGCAGCCTACAGCTCATCTAGATGATTACCTTTTTTGGATGTATAGTAGAGCAAGCCATTTCATTATGTAGTTCGATATTGAACTCCATTGGATCATCAGTGGATGTGAATAGACAAGCCTCTTCGTCCACCAGATGTCGATTCCCTGTCCCCCCTTCATACCTCATAGCCTCGTAACCAAGCCCCATAGTGAACTCTGAAAAATCCTTTGCAACACTCAGCCCCATTCCTCTGAACAATACTACACCAAAACGAGGCAATGAGACATCCAGTTCTTTTCTGCATAATTGACCCAATTCTCCAAAACTTGCCTTGTCAGCATTTGCTACACTTAGCGCATGAGGTAACCCTACCCTTGGGTTTGCAAGGAACTTCGGGAATGTTTGGCTCCATGATCCAGGAAGATACTTTCTACCAGCCAAGATGTTGTTGCTCTTTTGAGCCAGTTCAGAGGGYGGTAACAGATTGAACGAAGGACGGTTCGTGATTGGTGGATGAATCTTTGATGTCACCAAGCAGCGACCCAATCGTATTCCAAATAGAGATGCGAGAGGTTTATTGGAAGTTAACATTTCTAAAAGCAAAGATATTCGTATCATAAAATGAAATGAAATTCGACGTCAGATATCTCCTGTAATTACGGCAAAGAAGCCCGCACGAGCGAAGGCTATCAGGGGAATGGAAACCTAATGAACGCAGCGAGACAAACGGTGAGCTTGCAATGATAGAGACCTTTTTTTAACACCTTGCACAATTATTCACGTCTCTATCTTTGCAAGCTCACCGTTTGTCTTGCTGCGATTCAAAAGCACGGCTACCTTTCAAGATGGCGCAGGGAACTGTGAAGGGGACTATTGGATTTTGGAATAGTCAACTTGTACTAAACTTGTCYAGACTGAAAAACATGCAGGGAACCTCCAATCTGTATCGAATCGAACCATGATTGGCTAAACACGCAGATCAAACCTTGGAACAACCTCTATGCTGATCCAAGTCAGGGTACGGTAAACACACAGATCAAAACCTGAAACAAGCTATGGCCTCATCAATGTCAGGGTACGGCTAACTCCCAGATGAAACCCATGTTTCAAGGGCCGGTTTGGTCCGCGCGGCTTTTTCTGCGCGCTTTTTAAAATTTCTCTTCACAAAACTCAACGCGTGAAATTTCGATTCTATTTCGAGATAGCCACCGGAAATATGCTGTTCTATAGATTCATTTTTGAACGAGAAGTGAAGCAACGACTGCTTGGACCAAGTATTTACAGTTATAGGATGTGAAATAAATTTACCTTAAATTCGTTTACGAATCCAGTCCTTGGCATCAAGTTAATTTAATACACAATTTTCGTATCGCGAACAATCTTTCATTAGTCTCATTTACGTAGGGTTACTTATAACTTCATTTCAGTGTCTAAATATTCACCAAGTACCATATCAACGGTAAAGTAAAGAATGCACAACTAAAAAAGTACAGTAGTACAGTGTATTTCTACTGAATGTTATCCTCTTTCAAAGCGTCAGGTGATTTTCAGCACTACTTAAAGACTGTTTTCACTGCAAGCAAATTCTTACCTGGTCAAGTCCTGTACCCTTAATTGTTTTTCTGTTTTGCCTGTTGTTACATACTCTTCGACAGTTTAACGACTGTCCCGCTTACATGGGGTCTGATAAACGCTCTTTTGGTTTAATGGTATCAGTGCTTTGATTTTTATTGTTTTGTCTCGGAGTATCATTTATGACCAGGTCAATAGGCGTGTATATTACAGAGTAAGGTCTCCTAGTGTTACCATTAACGAGTCTAATATATTTAACATCAAAATAACTGTTTTTTTGTTTACACAGACTTAATATCATACATGATAGTGAAGTGTCTATTCTTTATAGTAAATAGCTGATATTGGGAGTGAGTTAGAGTGCAAACTATATATCCATGAAATACTGAGTTAGTGGTAGACACGTACTAAATTTAACCACTGTTTTTTTATATTACAAACTAGTACTAACTAAATAGTCATTTTTCTTTCACGGATTTAACAAAAGAAAACAACGGAACTATTGTCTGCTACTTTGCATTATGCTTATCATCTTTTCATGCGCCAAGTAAAATCGGTTTACCCCATGTAGTAGTTCTTGGTTGGTTGGATGCTTAATGATCTGTGTGATAATAGAAACAATAAAAACCAAACAAAGCCGCTGTTGAATTAGATTTCAGTGAGTTCCATTCAAAATCATACAGGATCCTTGAACGGAAATGAAAAAGCGGTAGTGGGTAGAAGCATCCGCCTGATACTTCCTGTATCAGTAGCTTACCCCATGACTTTCTCGCCAGCATGAATAGAACGTTTTACCACTGAACAAAAACAAATGATAAAGCCCCATATGTTCATTGACATCAAGTGAGTGTCAGGAAGACCAAAGGCTATAATAAGATTGCTCCATGATGGTCGATAAATGGGCAGGTAATCAAAAGGTGATTAACAACAGGAAAAGGAAGTCTGTCCCTCCCTCCYTCCCTTCACGTGCACGACATGTTCCACTGGTGGATGCGTAGACTACGTACAGAAACAAGAAAACATCTCATTAGTGATAACTAAAGTCTCGTCAGTCCTATTTTGGAATCACTTTTTCAGCTTCAGTCCACACTGAATCCACACTGAAGTAACGATAGAAGACTCTTTATCGAACGATCGCTACACTTTGAATTTGATACAAGGTTAAAGAAGGGTCTTGAAGGAGGGGATCCTAATCCTATTTTCTAGCCCCCATTTTGACCAAATCCCATAGTCCCAGYCTATGTTGTGCTCAAATCTCAATCCCATTCCCATCTTTTGTTTTTTTTTTGTTTGTGAATCCCATTCCCAGTGCATAAAACACCATTTTCCCAGCCCAAAAAAGGCGACTCCCAGCTCCCATTTCACCCCTTCAGGACCCTATTATAGTGACTCTGATCGATATTGGTCTACGATAAATAAAAAGAGACTACAGGATTCTTTTTTGGTTGAACCAGACATGAACATTTGCATGTTACGGTGATTCACAAGATTTACCCTAGGTGCTAATAAACGACTATTAACACCTGGTTCTCACTTCATTACTTAACATCMTCATAACTGATAGTCATGCGAGCGAAATCTCACCCACACTATATGCACATGCTACTACGCATGACTTTTACCATATCCCCAAGCASTTTTCGTTAGCTACATCCCGCTGTCCGGCAAAAATGATGATCATCCATTTTCTAAAAAAGGCATAAGAAAACGAGACTGTATTTATGCTTATTTTATTTCAAAATTCGGTAGCTTGGTGTTACATCTTTGTACATTAGTTACAAAATAAATCTAATACCAAACCTTTTTTCTATGTACACTGTATCGATATATTAATATATTATCAGAAATCATGGTAACCAATTTTGGGCGTCAAAATTCGAAAAAATATTGAATGACATTTGAATGCCAGTATTTATTATATAGTAACAATTTTTGAAGAAAGTCAAGTAACTTGTTTGGATAAGTATGACAAAGTTTAACAATAACAAGAACAACTTTGCAGCTCTAGAGTAAAACTTTTCGTTTAAATCAAACTGTATATTCATTCGTTACCTCGAGGTCCAGCCCCGAAGAACCAGTGTATCTGTCATACATATAATATGTATTTGTATCCCAACTATGATCCTATAGGAACCAAATATTAACACTTATGCCTCAAATAGTGAATACATATTCCCTTGTTGTCCTACTCACAATCTTTGCCCTTTACTAGTCATGTCCYATCCCATTCGTTGCCTTTTATCAACCACATCCTGTCACAACATCTTTAAACACAAAGCACTACTGATGTCCCTTAACAATTATTATGGTCCTTTACCGACCATGTTCCATCATAATAACTTTACAAATCACTTCCGATGTCCCATAACAATTGTGGCCCTTTATCGACCATGTCCCATCATGGTCATAGTCCTTTGCCAATCATGTGCCATTATAGGCATAGTCCTTTTCCAATGATGTCCAATGATAGACATGGTCCTTTATGAATCATTTTCCATGATAGTCGTGGTCCTTTACCAATCATTTCCCAAAGAATAAATTATGTCCCTCGAAAGTGGGTCATTACGATAAGATCAACTACATTCTGTCCTCTCATGATCTCCTTTGCAACTTCTTTATGTGACCAGTGAAGAACTTCTTTGCCATTTACTGAATGAATAAACATACGTACCTGGAACCAACAAACAGTGTGTCAACAAAAGATCCTGTCTGTTACAATGACAACTATCATGACTCACCCTGAGTCCYGCAGCAGCAGCTGGTCCCTCGGGATCAACAGTTTGAACATAGACTGGTTCTTTACCACGAACAACAAAACCAAAACCAACAGAGTCACTCATTATCTGAAACAATGAATGAATGTACCTGTAAGTAAGTCAACTGGGGTGGGGTCTGTAGAACCCAAGGGGGAGGGGGAGAGAAGTGATTTTCCTTCCCACTCTTCACACACCCTGGCTGTTCCAAATGGAGATYGGCTTTTATGCATATACAATATTCTTCTCATCCTTGCAGAACTAAATGGTAAATGTACATAGTGTCAAAGATGAGAAGTCTAGCACTGATCATCATGCTATTTGGGTTTCTACTGGTTGGCATAAGACAATAACAACTGCACGTACCTTGATAGCTTTCATTGTATATGGACCTGTAGAATCAAGTAACTCTTCCACTGTTATTTCCCTTACAATCACTGAAAAAAATAAGAGAGAAAACAAGAATGCCATCAATGGATTTCTTCAAAGCTATAATTTTCTTCAAAGGACCACTTATTAAATCACAATTAAGGGGCCGGCATGTTTGTGTACCTGGTCTTGGTGAACTGTTTTCAGGACTGCAACTTGATGGGAAATAGTCAGGACTTTCTGGTGAACAACTGTTATCTGTAGATAAATAATGTCAGTCTGCACCCTTATTCTATACTAGYTATATCGATCACCCCTTTATACTGCCCTTACCATTATTTCCACGGTTAGACAAAGGCACTGGTATGGACCGCTTAGCAAAAATGAGGGGCGGCAAATGTTTGCCATTTTTTCTCTCAATTAGTGGTGATCCAGGCTCAGCGATGATCTGTCCACTTTCCAGTAATGACATCCCATCGCACAGTTTCTTGGAAATGATTTTGTCAATAACAAATTGAAAATGAAGTTTGGGATCATCTTTGAAGTGGTGATCGTCGGTCACTGAAACCAATAGTTACTGTAATAAGTCACTGAAGTCAATAATTTCCTTTGGGGTGCCTGTGTTATTAAGAAAATATTCAGTGATTCCGGTTCTCCATTAGGCTGAGGTACATTTTCAAAACTGAGGGCACAGTTTTTCCCTATCCGGACTGACTATAGGACGGTAAATAACTTATATATWTTTTTCCCGCATTTTTTTACTTGTTTTTGTAATCGCTTTGTGTTGTCATTTAGCAGCAAAGGATACTGGACCACGTGCRTGGGCAGACACTGACAAAATACTGCCCGCTCAAACAGCCAATCAGAACGCAYGATTTTTTAGGATACCRGACCGGAAAAAAGTAAGGTTAGTTATCTTTATTCTTTACAAGCTTAGTTATGCAATTGTAGTAGTATTGCACCCTTGGACTTACCATGTTTTATGAGGCCAAGTTCAAGAAGTTCTCTACTGAGCATGACGGCTCCAAATCTGTCTGGTGTCTCACCGCTCTCAACCATCCAGTCTACTAATGCACTTCCAACAAAACAGTTGCGGTACACARAATCTTCGCACTCCTGGTGCTTGACGATGCTGTTTTCATCTGATTTTATCCTGTTCAGGGAAATTTGAAACTGTTATGGCCACATCAAAAATAGCCTGTGTGCAGATGCTTCTCTACCCCTACTCTGTTTTCTCTCACAGGGGCCGGAGGGGTAGGGAATTATCTGCACTTGGGCTACATCAAAAATGGACATAAAATAAACACATTTCTTATCCCTCCTCCAGGGTCTAGTTGTACGAAGGGTGGATAGCGCTATCTAATATATAAATCTTTATCCAATGGATAAAGAAATGACGTTATCCCATTATTTTATCCAGTGGATAAGATCTATCTTTTGGATGGTGCTATACACCCATCATATAACATGGCCTAGGGGATTATTTGCCATATACTGTATTGGMAAAAAAAAAAAAAAACAATTGGGGGCATTTTAATTTATAAACTATATTTGGTCTAAAAAATCTAAAAACTAAATTAATAAACTAAAATGTATCAACTAACCTTTGTGAAATGTTGTAGCCCTTAAGAACCAGGGAAATATCATGTGTTATGGGAAGTGAATGGTCATCCAAGCGAAACCGATAGAACAACATATCATCCTTGAACACATGGTCATCACACACTGAAAATGCAATCAAAATATAAGGGGAAAAAACCTATTTGTTTGTGTTGTGGAAATTTGCATCTTTAACCTGGCCTCAAGGATTTTCACTTGTTTTTGATCCTTAAATCCCAAGAGGCCTCATACTATGAGCTGAGGAAGATGTTCAGAGTACAAACATTATGGCTCCTGAAAACTGCTGATTTGTAGAATACAAAGATAAATAGAAAATAGTCAGAAATACACAGGACAAATGGTTCAGTATATTTCTCTAACTCTCTTCAGGAAATCCCATTCCTATTAGATTAATTCAAAGCAGGATTAGGCAGATTATTTTCATATTTGAATCAAGTGAATATTTTCGTTATGAAGCTTTCATGCTTATATACCACAAAAGTTCAGAAAGAGTGGAAGTAGAATGTACATTTCAGTTTCGTAAAAGAGTTAAAGAGAAACCTATTAAGCGTTCGAAGCTTTGACATGAAGCCTTGTTAGTGCTGCTAAATGTCAATCAACGGGACAATAAATGTTGAACATATTTGAGATTACACCTGAAACTACAAGCTCACAGCATCTTCAGAATGCATAATGTACCAGACTATCTACATAATACATGGATAAGCGTACATTATCCATGCTCTCTATTGTTTGATTTTATATTTTAAGGTCAAAATGTCTTGGCCGGCCAAGCGTATCATTATGATATTTATAGTTTAATAACAGCAATAATTTATAGCATCCCATCGAACAATCTTTATTATAACTCAAAGAAAAATGACAAAACCTTGGAAGTCAGAGCAGTTTTATCCAAATAAGCTCTCTTAAAGTAAATCATGAACACAAAATTCAAAATGGCAAGCGAACTCTATACAACAACAGTAGTTAATGTTCAATTTAGCGTGGAAGTACCTAGTCTAGGAAATACCGCGCTTCAACGGGTTTTCCAGCACTTATTTGCAGCTTCTTATTCAAACTTACCGTGATGTATAAGATTATGATCTTGAAGAACACACATACACTGAACTGCAGCAAATCTACTTGGCGCTTCACCTCGCTGTACGAGCCACTCCACGAGGTCTTTGCCAACAAAACACGTTGGGTACATTCGCAGATGGTACCTACGATCCTTTATTATAGGTGGGTCGCGCTCAGAGTGAAGACGAGTACGTAAATACTCCGAAAAGATCAAAATATGAACAAATTTACTGGAGATTCGCTCCATTTTGCCCTCAACAACCTCCGATCACATTTCACTTGTCTTCTGTTGATATTTGCATTGTAACTTTAAACCACACTGACCGCTGAACTGAAAACTGGGGGGCTGGGGCGCAGACAACTGTGTTTCCGATATTTGAGCCAAAAAATAAATGACGGTCCTGAAGAGGAAAAATGGGAGCGGGGATTTGCCTTTTTGGGGCCGGGAAAATGGGATTTTATGCACGTACTGGGAAATAGATTCACAAACAAAAAGAAAACAATTAAAAAATGGGATGAGGTTTGAGCGAAAAATAGGCTGGGACTATGGGATTTGGTCAAACTTTATAGGGCTGGGAAATAAGATTAGGAACGAAGAAAACTTGAACTCTACTCCATGAATATAGTAATATCACCAATGAAATTTTAAAACGTTATCGCTTCTTACAATTTATTACAATTGGAAGTATAGGGAGGGATGGGAAGTCTTGTTAGAGTTAGTGGCAAGACTAAAAATCAAGAGGAGYACTCAATCGTGGAAATCTAACGCATCCCAAACCCATTTCCGAGCATAAATTTTGAAGAAATCCCATGTTGCTGATTCTACTTCCCACTCTTTTTGATCCATTCCCGATGAGCCCTTTGAGTGAAATTTTCAGCAGAAAAGATATAAGAACTCTCCAGTTCCCTAACCACCCCTTGTGACCCATCCTATACATATTTTTTTTCTGTCCACGCAATCAACATTTCCTCATTAGGTTTATCGAATTTAACTTTCTTATTCATAACAGGAAAAGAGCGGATTGTCAACAACATGTTTTAGCGATATCTTTTATTTTTGAAGCTTATCGTTTTGTGCGCTAGAAAAACATTCACTAATCCAAACATCTTCGCAGTGTGTCGTTCAATTCATTATCTATTATATCTAGCTTTAATTCATAGCTTAAGTTATCATATTAAAATCTCTCTCCTTCTTTGTAACAATATTCTAGAGGATTTACGTCACTACTCTCTCAACAGATGGCGTTATTTTAGATATCTCTAACATGCAATTCTACCTTGAATAGACAACTTGCATGTGACGTCAAAGCAACTATATTTGGAGGACGAAACGAAAAGATTTCAATCTTCTGAGAATTGGAAACCTATTGTTACGTCCCAAAAATTGAGCTGCATTTCGACGTGCTGCAATTGGTTTATAGAAGATGACATTCGCCTCGAAAGCAAAGGAGTAACATGTTGTATCAGTCTGGCCCGGATTCGTCACCGTCGTCGTCATCATCATCTTCTTCTTCTTCAGCGATATCAGGTATTGGAAACCTTAAGATCGCTGCCACTCCTGACAACTGGCCAAGCTCTACAGGAAATAGAGGAGAATTGYGAGAAGGTAAAATGGAATGAAATAATGAAGAGGGAAGTGAATGCAGAAACTTACGTTCACCAGACACGTGTAGGCTAGAGAATATCCTGAAATGACAAAAAATATATCATTTTGTATTTAGAACAATATCATCAGTGTGAATTAGGATTGAATATTATGGTACGTGTTGTAAATCAGGTAAAAATGAGCTTGCACAGTTAGCTGTCTTTGCAGACGATGGAATCTTCTTCAAAGGAGGCGACACCATCACGTGCCGGCGCCCATAATACAGCTTGGACTGCCTGCGGCAGAACGATAGAATTCCTTTGCTCTCGGAAATTGAATTCTTTCTCATGTAAGACGATTGTATTGTTTCTGCCATCTAACATGGCTGCCATCACGTGATGGTGCAAAGCCTCAATGCTAGACACAACACACCCGATATCAAACATGTACCATGGTACGCCATGGTTGTCCCCCCCAAAGCTCGACATCATGTAGAGGGTATTCATGACTTACTTGACTTCACCTCCATTTTCCTTGACGCTTTCTACAAGAGCAACGTATCGTCTACGAGTAGGTAAATCAGCAGATCTGAATACATCATAACAAGACAATCATTGCAGTACAAATTGGAGAACACCCATAGTTAAATATTGGTTATTATTATAAGATCTTCAGAGGTCGAGTTCACTAACGGTGCGGTAATACAGCAACGAAACCGTACAACACTGTTAGGTTGCAAGTAGGTGAGAGAAGAAAAAAAAAGATAGGCTAATAACATTTACGAGAGATTATACGGAGTAAAACGTATATTCAATAAAAACAACCAATACCTGAATAGTTTGTCTGTAACCAACAGTGTTTCAACAGCCATTGCTTCATTTGCCCTCTCCACATGACGAACTCTAGAAATCCAACCAGAAGTCAAGCATTAGAGTAGTGTTCGCAGGACTGTGACAGGTTCAAAGTACTAACGTACCGTGCCGTGCCGTGACAGTACTGTACATCCAAGTATTCTGATTGGAACCAACCATAAATAGGTTAAGGATCTYGTGATTAACTTACCCATAATATGCTCTATCTGGTTCATTTTGTAAAGTTGTATAAAAAGTATCAAGGGACTTGACTTCACTGCTGGCCTAGAACATGAGATAAGGCATGAAAGTCACTTATTGAATATATAGTAATGATACAATACTGTTATTACATACCTTGGTGTCTGCAAGCCTGCTTGCAATACTTGGATCTGATAAAATTTCTATCAAAAAAATRAAATGGAAGAAAAAGGGTTGTGTGAATATGATGACTGCACTGAATGACTGTGCCCTAGATATGTTTCAATGGGTATGCTTCTGAAGAGGAAGAAGACTCATTACCTTTTAGAGCATGCTTGTGCCCTGATGAAGAATGCACCTGGAAAGTTGAACATCCAGAAAATCAATAAACCATATTCTTTAAAACAAAGAACACAAGACAGGACAAAACTTTGGCCCAGTCCTTACATACCGAAAGAAATTTAGATTTATTATCTAATAAGTTTTTCCATTCCATCTTAGTGGCTTGTTGGAACATGTAATCTAAAAATTGATCCTAAGGATACAAGCAAATCATATCATCAGATAATACTAGTAGTAAGGAATAATGATAAAGAATACATCATCAAGAATAAAAAACACAGGTGGTGTAGTGGTAAGTCTGATTGCCTCTCACCAATGTGACACAGGTTTGACCCCTGCCAGGCTTGGTGTTGTATGTGAGTAGAGTTGTTTATTGGTTCTCTTCAAGAGTTTTTCTCCGGGTTATCCGTTTTTCCTTCCTCCACAAAAATCAACTTCCAAAGTCTAATTCGATCTATCAGTTTCCTTGTAATTGGGTCCTAGACCTGTTAGGCTTTACGCCCACCTCAGAGTGGTAGAGTTGAATAAATAAATAAAAAAAATTGCACATGAGCCCCAGAACCTACCTTGACAAAACCTGGACTACCAACTAGAACACATTTAACAACTGCAAATTCAAAAATATGTGTATTTAAAAATAATGTTTAAAAGACTTTACTTATATTATCAATAGAATCATTTCCTGGAATGCTGAAAATCAATATAAATTGAAGCAAGAACGTAAATGAGAACTAGGTAGAAGATAAAATCACCTTCAAAATTGATATGTCTAAGGACAGCTTGAATTATTGCATCATAAAACTTTAGAAGACCCTTAGGAAATTAAAAAAATTGCAAAATTAGATGCTGGTACAATGAAGAAGAAGAGAAGGTGGAATGAGGAATATTAGTTAACATGGGCTACTCAAATTCTTAATTCTTTTTTGCGTAAACTGATTTTACATGGATTGAGATCAAAGGACCCAGGTTTATCCCATCATGCATTGCAAGTGAGATACAACGTTTTTCATTTAAACTATTGAAATTAATATTTTCGAAATTTAATAAAAAACAATGGTATTCAAGTAGAGTGTATGTCGATCACCTTTTAGCAAATTATTTATTTTCTAAATCCTTCATGAGGTTTAGAGATACTCGTTAAACTACTGGAGTACTTTGGAGTACTTTCAGGTTCAATGCAGATCCTACGACTGACTACTTTTATTTGTCTAATTAGCTGAACATGTCTTCATCAAATGCAAAAGCAATACCTTATTATTAGTATTAGTAGTAGAAGAAGTATCATTAGAAAAAGATGCCCATAAACTGGTTGAAACTAAAGGAAACAATAATAAGCTCGCAAAGGAACTTGGGATAGCCATGGATCCTACTCTGGATTGAAATAGTACAATAATTCTACCTTGTCGTGCTGCGCACAGTAGCCTTTTCTCTTCCTTGGTACGTTCATGTCTATTTTTGCTCTCACAATAGTCATACTTGATGTTACCAGACATATATGACACAGTCCTGCAGAAACAAACAATCTGGTATCAATCTTTGTTGGGTCTCTCTAATAGTGTTTACATGCTAAGGGCTGTCTAATAGTGTTTACATACTAAGGGCTGTCTTAGTGTTTACATGCTAAGGGCTGTCTAATAGTGTTTATGTACTAAGGGCTGTCTAATAGTGTTTACATATTAAGGGCTGTCTAATAGTGTTTACATGCTAAGGGCTGTCWAATAGTGTTTACATGCTAAGGGCTGTCTAATAGTGTTTTACATGCTAAGGGCTGTCTAATAGTGTTTACGTGCTAAGGGCTGTCTAATAGTGTTTACATGCTAGGGGCTGTCTAATAGTGTTAACATTCTAGGGGCTGTCTAATACTGTTTACATGCTAAGGATCATAATGTCTTTACCTTCATGTAGGATGATTGCTGCAAGATCTGCATGCTGAGTTGGGTCACATGCCATATCTACCAATTGAATGACACAAATAGTTCAAATACCAAATAGTGTTATTCAATTTTCTTGCATGGTCTGCAAACCTTCAAATTGTATTAATACCATGAAACAGCCTCTGGGCTGATCAAAGCAGGGAAGGGAGAGCACATGTCAGGTGTAGAGTGGGCACTAGAAGGCTAGAATATCCTTGAGGTCACATTTTCTAAGCAGGGGGCTAGAATTGTTTTTTATACGGAACTCAAACTAAACAAAATAAGATTTCATTCTTGTAAAGATTGGTTGCAAGTAAGTAAAGCCCCCACCATCCCCCCCCTCAGATTAATTAGCACCAATTGTCTCACTATTCTCATGAGGGAATACAAATTTGAATAACAAAGAAAATTTACAAAGCATTTTGGTAGTGGTAGTAAAATGATGGCATCATGCAAACGGCCTATTTACAGAAGGAATTGGAATTTAGCTTGTTGGGTTTTGCAGTGGGTGGAAAACTGGAAAACTTTGAGAAAAAAATTCAAATCCAGGGAAAACTCAACAAACTCTACTCACATGTGATGCAGGGTCTGGGAATTGAAACATGAGACCTCTGAGGCGATAGTACTTATTCTATATTGTTTCTTGATCTCAACTTTATTTGATACCATCATTTCATACATGTATGCTTACCAACTCTATCCAGTGCTATAAAATCCCATTGTTCTTTGATGAGTGTGAACTTTCTATTGAGCTCCAAGTCTATAGTGTGATATGCTCCCATCTGAAGAAAATAAATTCCAGTCTAATATCATACATGTTAAGTTAACTGAAAAAAATACATGTTAAGTGAAAAAGTAGGACACAAGTCTCCATCCTGGGGGGGGGGAAAGAGGGTATTACCACCCCAACTTGGGCAGGGGTGTGCCGCCAGGACCTCGAAACCCTGACCCTATCCCAGACCTAAAATTTTTATTTTACATACCCTACCCCAGACTAAAACCAAGAATTGTACATCCTATCCCAGACTAAAAGATGGAAAAGACTGTTTTTTAATAGATTGCAATCAATATTTACTTACGTTTTTATTGTTTTTGTGCCGGCAGAAAGCGTAGCCTATTTGCCAGACAAAAATGACCAGATCGTTAACTCTATCCCAGACTCAAAATGATACCCTATCCCAGACAAAATGTCAAAAAATGATACTCTACCCCAGACTCAAAAGCCGAAAAACCATACCTTATAGGGCGGCACATACCCGTATAGCAATTATAGGGGAGTACCCCCCCCGGGGGTCTCCATATTATTACAAGTATCTATGAAGATTTTTATCAAGACAATTAAATTTTTACATGTTTAATATTACCTTAACAAACTGGTTTTCCTCAGTATTTCTGCCCTTAACTCTCAAAACACAAGCTTGAGTATCAAACTCAATATTTTCAACAGCAAGTGTAAGAGTTGTACGAATCTTGTTACTGCTAACAGACCCTGTTGCTGATTCTGTCTGGACTCGCCTACCATCAAAATTGGTTACATTTCATTAGTATTTATTTTGTACTCGACAGTAATYATTTTTGATCAAGACAAGATATAAATCCACACAATAAAAGTCTTTATCTATGAAGTACTCTGTGCTGTTGCCCAATGGTTCTAGGTAAATTAAGAAGGGTTGAAAACTAACTGATAATGACAGGCTTGTGCTTGTGATTCCAGTTAGAAATGTGTTTAATACAACAAGCGAATAAGAAGGAAACTTAAACACCATGTAAAATAGTTTGGAGAGCTCTGTTGACATTTCAGGTCCTTCGGGATGTACTGCAGTCCAATTATATATTATTTGTTAGCTTCATTCTATGGTATAACTGAGGGTATCTTGTTTTTCTATATATGTGAATTATGTAAACTGTATGTGGTACCCGAAGGAGATGACATTAAAATTTGAATTTYATACTCAGGACTCTTCAAACTCATAATTCAATACTGTCTTCATCCCATCCCCTTCGGAATCAAGGTCTGGAATGGTATTCACAGGTACTGGGAAATGGATAAAATATAGCTCAGGATCTGGTAAAATATAAAAAAATCTTACGTGATTCAGGATATTTTTTGGCATTGGCCATGATTTGGGAATTGCCAAATTCAATATCTGGGATGCGGGATTTTGCTTTCTGATTTTCAAGGAAAACGTAAAAACTTTAATAAATAAAATAAAAATTGAAGCACCTCTCTAAGAATTTGTTGAATGTGGGGTTAATGGCAAAATGTAGCGGGACATGGGATTTCAGGACATGGGGTTTCAGGGGGAAAACCAATGATTTGGAATCCTGACCCTTTTTCCAGACCCTTCTAAATCTGCAAACATTTCCTGCCAGTTAATTTAATGTACTTAAAAGAACTATGATTCAATTAAGAATCATTTTAACTAACCTAATGGTAGTAGATCTAAGGCGATCACCAACTGAAACCAAGTTGTAAGTATGCCACATATCTTCTGGATCTTCAGGGACTAGTGTTACATGGCTAACAAACACGAAAACAACGACTTTACAACATCACATTTATAATTTTATTAACGGCTACCTCATCTCATTTTATAAATAGGATTAAGCTTAGCTCAAGCTGATCAAAATTTATCTCTGAAATTCATTKGTCGTATTAAATGAAAGAAGGTTAAGAAATAATTAAGCTTGATTCTAAAATGTCACTGTAGTAACATATAAATCGAGTGATAAGTATATCTTTTGACTGATCCCCATTACTGAGGATAGATGATGTGATGTGATGTGGTTGATTAAAAGAGAAAACCCGCGAAAAATATATCAAAAATAATACAACAAAAATAAACCCAAATTCTTACCCACTGCTGTCCTTCTCCAAGCTCTTGTTGATAAGCTTCATACTGATTGACCAAAGCGTTGAGATATCTCCTCAATCGCTATATTATTTGATCATCTGTTTGAGTATAAAATTGTATAAGACATTTTGATCCGCCATCTTGAAATCTTGTCCCTGCTGGGCAACCACCCTTTATCTTATACCACAGGAACGCCTGGTAAAGATCTGTTTTCAAGAGATATTTTCAAATATCATGTAAAGCATCTTTTGTACGGAATTGCTTGGAAGACTAATCTTTAATCCTATGTMTTGTTCTTTAATCCAGTCACGTTGCAAACGGTCCCGGGAAACGGTGAAGGACGCCTCACATTTTGTAATCAGTCCTTTCTTTTTCATGAACTCACATGATGGCTGATTATACTTCTTTAAAAAAAGTCGACAATGTTTTTAAAGGAAGTGAAGACATGTAAGTCGAAATATTTTCTTTAAGAATATTGTACTTGCGTACTTCCATTTTACAAAGTTATATAACAATGTTTTACAATATTTTATTGTATGATACAAATTTTCAACTCTGAATCTTTTTCAGTATTCCTTTAATATTATATTATATAATATGGCTTGATAGCAATACTTGAGTTATATGAAAAAATTCTTTAGATTTAGTGGTCTGACAATAGACATGACTACAGAAGACCAGAATTATGACAATGAGCAGTTTGCAACCATGTTGAAAGGTAATGTCATTGTATGTGTAATGTCGGTCAATAAGCCTTTGCAGCTAGAGGTCACATGCTTGGATACCCCATAGCAATGCCATACTGGAGTGTAAGCGTTCCAGGAAACAAAAGCTCCATGGAGGTCAAGCACACGCAACAACCATGACAGCTGCTACAGCAGCAATAAATATGACACAGTCCTGCCTAACCTTATAACACAGCATCACATCGTAGTAGTATTATATTTTTATTATTCATAGAATCGCTCGTCACTTACAAAAGATATGGTGTCAGAGGTGTGTGGTTGAAAATCCCTATTGAGAAATCRTCATTTGTATCAATTACTGCTGAGGTAAGCCATGTACAGTATGGATACTTTTTTTAAACAAGTGTATTGCTCACTCTGCCTGGGAAAGAATCGCTTACTAAAACTACATTAAAACAGGTTTTGTATTTTGTTTTTAGCATGGTTTTGTGTTTCATCATTGTTTTCCATCTTACATCGTGATGACCAAGTGGCTTCCTGAAGATGAACCCAACAAGCTACCAACCTTTGCAACATGTTGTTTAGGTATAAATAAACTGGTACAATATGATATAATAGACTTTATTTACCAGAGAAAAGACATATTAACCCTGAGAGGTGTCTATGACGTACAGCCCTCAAACAGGTAGGAATGAACCATTAGATGTAAAGGGTCTGGTATAGCAGTAGTGTACTCGCACCCTTTCACCTCTGGCATGGGTTCTCTGGTTTGATTTGATCCCAGACTTGGCATCACATGTGGATAGAGTTTTTTAGGTCTCACCCTCGATTTGAGGGTTTTTCTCTGGGTTCCCTCAGTGGTTTTCCTCCCTCAAAAAACCACTCCACAAAAACACTTTAGATTCCAATTCCCAGAGGATATCAATATTTTAGGGTATCAATAACTCTGGAGGATTTGGAGGCTAAGAAACTGAGCTYATTGTTTTAGAACTACTAAAAATATCAACTTTAAATTCAAGGTGTTGGTTGCTTTGTTGTCAGTGATGAGGGGAAAATATTGGTTGTGCAGGAAAAGTTTAGAAATTCAGATTTCTGGAAATTACCTGGAGGAAGGGTAGACCATAGTAAGTAAAATAACAAATATAATCTCCTCTTGACCCTCAAGAAGTTGAAATGACAAGCTATATTTTTTGTCTTTAGAGGAGGATTTAAGAACTGCTGCAAAGAGAGAGGTTTTAGAGGAAACTGGAATTGAAACTGAATTTGTTTCTTTGGTGTGTTTCCGACATATACCAGACTGTCGTTTTGAGTGTTCAGATTTRTGCTTTATCTGCTTATTAAAGCCTTTGAGCACTGAAATAAAAATGGACCCTTCAGAAATATCAGATGCAAGATGGATAGACGTAAGTGTTTGATTATTATGCCTATGTAGAGAGAAAACATCAAGTAAACATTTCAAAGTTAAAAAAGACTAGTTTAATTCTGAACTGTCTCCTGGTTGGCTAAGTTGGTTGGGCAGTGGACTATCAGTTTATCGGTTGCAACTCACTAGGACTGGCAGAATGGGTCATCTATGTGCTCGCTTAAGTTGTGCAGTAAATCTTTTTAATGAGTTACAGTCAAACAAGCTCACGCGTTGACCCCTAGAGTCGATTGATGATTTGAATTTTCGAATTTTGATTTCATTATTCAATTGAAATTTACAACGTTGAAAACGAAGATATGAAAATTCCAATCAACATTCCTAGTTGGGGAGGCCAGAAAATACCTCAACATTATTGATGACATGGAACTGTGTCTCCATTTCGCTCAAGGCGGGAGCGTTCCCTACAAAATTACTGATGATATCCTCCAAGTAATTGAGGCATGGAAATTACAAAACCCAATGCGTATGCTTATGAAATAAGAGAGCGACTTCTGCTCGAAGGTATCTGTAATTTAGATGATTTACCTTCTTCATCACGAGTCGAATAATGAACTGAATTTCCATTTGAATATTGCAATATTGCATTATTCCAGTTCGTACGTATAAGAGGAATAATTGACTAATGATTTCATTAATTGAATCTAAGGGTCAACGCGTGAGCATGTTTGACTGTAAACAAATTTACTTTCTATACAATAAAAAATGTTATTACTGTACCAAAAGGTAAATTTGATTAACTTATTAAAGGGAATTAATTGCTAACAAAATGTCATCCTCTATAAACAAAGTTGATTTACCATTTTATTCATTTACTATAATCACACACACACGCATAAAGTTAAATATATATGCTGTTAAAGGGGAAAATGTGAAAATTTGTGCAGATTCTATTCTTTATATGCTCGAATATTGTGATTAGCTAATTTTTATTTCAATTTGTCTTGGTTGGTATAGTTGCACTGTAAC